TTTGAAAAATGGGATTTGACTTTCTGTCTCTTTGACTGTCTCTTTCACTGTATGTATAGATTACATTGCATTGATCAATAAGAGTTGTCACCATGGATAGATGTTTTCCTTCCTCTTTTCTTTCCATAACTGGAAATTGGAGCTAATGAAGTGCGCTGGATTCAGTGAGTTGTTGGCCTCATTTTGGGACCCATTATATTTAATCCTTGTTTTGAGAATTAAGTATGCTGAATTGATCATACCTAATTCATTCCTGCTATGTGCCACTGCATGGAATAACAACTATTTATGAGTTACTTTGACACTGAAGAAGACCTAAAACATGGTGACTCAGCTAAGTGCTGTGAGTGGGGTTTAAGAGTTTTTTAGACATTTATTTAGCACTGATAATTATATACTTGAAAAAGTGTCAGTCAGTCAGTATCTAAAATGATCTGTATCATGTCTGCATTCAGATTTAACTAAATAACGACCATTAAAACATAAAAACAAAAACAAAACATTCGTCCAGTTATGTGATGGCGAAGTTTCGCCTTCGTCTTCGACTCCAAACAAACACACTTTCTTTTTCAGGTGTTCATGTTCATCATATTTTTAACTCTATACCACAGACTGTGTATTAAAGTTGGACGCAGTCACTGTGAGATCACTGATGTGCTTGTAGCGTTTTGAAAGCTCATTGTTGATCTTTTTTTGAGTCAGATGTCCCGATATTTAGACAAGAATGAACCAATATGGACACATTCAAACACTATAATGGTGCAATGTAGCTGACCAATAAGATCCCAGACTTTCACTTGACAAACTGAAGCACAAACTTTTTGGGTGGACTTTACCACACAGCAAGCCATTATTTATGGTTATACTGTTACATTAAAAATGCTGCAAAAGACACCAACATGATCAGGAGGTCCAGTTCAGTGACTGCTGTCCCCCATACTTACTTTCACTATGTAAGTAGGCGTAGAGGAGAACAGTCACACGAGAGAGCAGCTAAAGTGTCATATGACCACTGCATGAACTGTTGTTTTTGGCCGCTTGACTGAAAAAGAGGAGCAGAGAAGGACATTTGTAAGAATAGTGGATTTAAAGGTTGATTTTTTTATCTCCATTACAGGCAAAAACTAGTATTAAACTGAATAGTGGAACAATAACTTAATAACGATAAGGATGCACAAACAATTCAAACGCTGGAAAGCTTTCTAACCAATACTAGATGGCATAAATTCAAAAAGGTGTTGGAATCATTCCTCAGAGATTTCGGTAACAGATTTACATGATAGCGTTACAGAGTTGCTGCATATTTATTGAGTGCACATCCATAAGGTGAATCTCCCGTTCCAACACATCCCCAGAGATGCTCTATTGGATTGAGATCTGGTGACTGTGATGGCTATTTGAGTAGAGTGAACTCACTGTTGTGTTCAAGAAACAAGTTTGAGATGATTTGAACTTCGTGACATGTTTGAAGCAGCCATCAGAAGATGTGTTCATGGTGCCAATAAAGGATTGGACATGGTCAGCAACAATACTCAGGTAGATTATGACATTTAAACTTCCATTGTTTTCATTCAAATTCTGTTGTTTTCATTCAAATTTCATTGTTTTCATTCAAATTCTGTTCTTTCATTCTAATTCCGTTGTTTTCATTCAAATGCTTCTTGTTTTCATTTAATTCTACTCTTTTTTCAAATTCTATTGTTTGTTTTAAATTCTGTTGCTTTTCATTCAAATCTGTTCTTACATTCTAATTCCGTTGTTTTCATTCAAATTCCATTGTTTTCATTCAATTCTTTGTTTGAACTTCCATTGTTTTCATTCAAATTCTGTTGTTTTCATTCAAATTCTGTTGTTTTCATTCAAATTCCATTGTTTTCATTCAAATTCCATGTTTTCATTCAAAATTCTCATTGTTTTCATTCAAATTCTGTTGTTTTCATTCAAATTCTTGTTTTCATTCAAATTCTGTTTTTTCATTCAAATTTTTTCATTAATATCTGTTTCATTTAATTCCTTGTTTTCATTTATCTACTCTTTTCTTCAAATTCTATTGTTTGTTTAAATTCTGTTGTTTCATTCAAATTCGTTGTTTTTCATTTTAATTCCGTTGTTTTCATTTAATTCCGTTGTTTTCATTCAAATTCTTGTTTTCATTTTAATTCTACTCTTTTTATTCAAATTCTATTGTTTGTTTTAGAATTCTGTTGCTTTCATTCAAACTCTGTTCTATACATTCTAATTCCGTTGTTTTCATTCAAATTCCATTTGTTATTCTAATTTCTTTTTCATTCAAATTCTGTTTTTCATTCTATTTTCATTGTTTTCATTCAAATTCATTTTTCAAATTCTGTTGTTCTTTTTTCATTTGTTTCATTCTAATTCTGTTGTTTGTTTTAAACTCATTGTTTTCATTCAAATTCTAGTCATTTCATTCTAATTCAGTTCATTTCATTGAGATTCTGTTGTTTTCATTCAATTGCTGTTGTTTTCATTCTAATTCCACTCTTTTTATTCAAATTCTATTGTTTGTTTTAGAATTCTGTTGCTTTCATTCAAACTCTGTTCTGTACATTCTAATTCCGTTGTTTTCATTCAAATTCCATTCTTTTCATTCTAATTCTGTTGTTTGTTTTAAGTTCTTAGTTGGTATTAAGCGGCCCAGAGTGTGGCAAAAACATATCCCCACGCTATTACACCACCACTGCCAGCCTGAACCTCTGGACGGGCAGGATGAACACTTTAATGGCAGTTTCTGACACTACCATTGGAATGTTGCAGCACAACGAAGACTTATCAGACCAGTCAACATTTCTCCAGTATTCTTTAATTTTGGTGAGCCTCAGTTTCCTGTTCTTAGCTGACAGGAGCGGCAAAGTAGACAACTGTGCCAAGCTGATGTGCCATGTCTTCTTGATCATGTCTAGATACTTAATTGCACTGAGTTGCTGCCATGTGATTGGCTGATTAGGTATCTGTGTTGATTAGCACATGTCAGGCGAAATCAATGACTATACAGTCACTATGACTAAACCAAAACTATTGTGCAGTACAGTAGATGGTAGAATCAGCAGTTAACATTAAAACTGTTGTTTAATGTTCCACTTGGTCGCAATAGATCTACATAGATGTGCATGTTGACTAGTATGACTATATTTGAGTAAATATTTGAAATACTGTTAGTGTCTGAAAAGTAGCGATATCAGGGAAATGATGTGAAGCAAAATGATCGCTGTACTGTCGCCATTATCTCGAGTTATTTTATGCTGCACAAAATAAAAATGCAAAAATGAAAAACATAGTTAGAGTAACTTGTAGCCTTTTGTTCTTGTTTGTGTCAGTTTCACCAGTGCTCCTGGAGCTGGCCTGCTGATGCTCAGATGCAGAGCAGGTGTGGGTGGTGCCACTGCTGTCTCTAACACACACACACTCCCCACTCCCTGCTGAGAGGGTTCACACAGTTGTAATTGCACTCCTGCCAGAGCTATAGGAAATGGGGTGGCTGTGGGCAGAATCAGAGGAGAGCCTCGCAGCAGGTGGCAGGGAGCTGAGCTCAGAAGGGAGCTTGAAATCAGCCAACCAAAGGCCACTGTGGAGCCTAATTACACAATGAACATGAATAATGATGAATCTGTGCTCTGGTGGTGCTTTGTCCGAAATATGCAGCACTCATCGCCCAATCAGCTCAAGTCTGTAGCAATAGTGGTGCCTTACCACTGTTTGTAGATCTCTCACAATGACGGATGGCCTATAGCATGGACCACATACAGACTCTATGGCTGAAATAGCTATAGTTTGTACACGTGTGGGCATTTCATTGTGTAGCAAATGTGCAGTTTAATTTGCAGTTTTTATATGAGAGCAGGGAGTCTTTTTTTTTTTATTATCACTGATTACTGTGACATAACTCCCCCATAGATCTGCACAACCATGCACACATACACAGAAGTCTACCTTTGAACTGAGCTTTTGACAGGTTGCATTTCTCCTGGTTTCCTCTTGTTGTTCAATCAGGAATAATGATGAAATGCAAATGGAGCTCCCCTGAGAGCACAGCCTCCCATGCACACTCCTGAAGAAGAATATTCTGTAGGTGTGGAGGGAAAAAAAAACGAAACTGTAATTGTTTTTATGAAGATAAATGAGTAAAGAGGCTGTGATTGAAGCCGCAGGAGTTTGAGGAGCTGTCCAGATGCTGAAGGAGCAACAAACAGCCTTCCAGTGAGAAATAAAAGCTGGTATCTCTGAAGGGACCCGTGTCCTTTTAACACTTGTCTTTGAACATTTTACTTTGGGTTTAATTTTCAAGCAGGGGTTTAATTTTTAGAACAGCCAACCAACCGAAACAAAAGGGAAATTTCACAATATATATATATATACTATAGAATTCGAGGCTATTTGCGCCCTCCGGTGCTTATTTATTTTCTGTAACTCGATTTAAAAAGCAATCTGGACCAGAATAAAAGGCGTCTGCCACATATCTACAGCTCGAATCTGCAACGAGTGAGAGTGTAGTCGCAGCCCCGCGTGTAGGAGAATGCAGACGGGAGGGGAGGAGTTCACGTCTTTTACTTTTCAAAGCTCCTCTGGCAGAAGAGCTCAGTCTTTGCCTGGAAAACCGCGGAGTTTGGCGCTGAGGCGTCCCGGGCACGTGACACCCCCCACCCCTCCTTCAGCCAGATTAATCGCTTCACCGCTGCAGCCCCCGATTAAACTTTCCATGCTGTTGCCCGTCCGACGGACAGCACTTTGGAGGTTTGTGTGGACCGTGTTCGCTCCCGCTCGCTCGCCCGTCCGCCGCGCTCCGGCTCTCCACCCTCGGCTCTCCAGGTTCAAAGGGGCTCACGCGGCCAGTGGAGCTGGCCCGGGTCTCCAGCACGCATGGAGGGAGACGTTATGGACAAAGTGGAGGCCACGGCAACGGTCCGCGACTTCGACCCCATCAGCGGAAGCATTCCGGCCACCAAAGTGGAGATAACCGTGTCCTGCAGGTGAGTCCATCGGGGTGCTGATGCTGCCCCGTCTGCGTCAGGTTTGGGAAGCTTAGCGCGTCTTTTGGCTACATTTTTTTGTGAGAAGCACTTAAATTGGTAATTTTTTCATTTTATTTTCATTTTTAAGGCGTCATTTACCTTTTTGATGTTTTTACTTTGTTATTTATTGTTTTTTTTTAATAACCCTGCTTAATATTTCCCCATTAAAAGAAGTATAAACATGCTAAACAACAAAAAACTTTCCAGCCCACCAATAAACCCACAAGCAAAAATTATTTTTAAGCAGTTAAAAAAATATATCATTAGAAATTCACCCAGCGACTAATTAGAACTGCAGTGATGTCCTCCCCCGGTTATAGTGAGCAAAAGATGCTGTGATAGAAACCAGAGCGATGCAAACTTTACGCATATTCCGCCCTAAGATTTGCACTTTGGTGTCTTATTTCCATAAATCAGGTCGGGTACGACGCTGTGTGCTGTGCACGCGCCCAGTCGCGTGCCTCGGGAGATGCCGAGCGACGTGGAGTTATTATTGGCGTGCCCGAGAGGTTTCCCCCGAGGCAGCGTGTCATGTGTCAGCCTCTGCAACTGCTTGTCAGGCTCCCCCGAAACGACTGTAGTTTGTCACCGAGACGTAAAGATGAACACTAAACAGTTTTTTCCTCCCAGCAGCCTTCAGCTGAATCCCAAAGTAGATGCAGCGGGAAAAATACCACGGATGTGACAGGAGCCTGCTCGACTGGGTAGGGTGGGGCAGCGCTGGTTGCAGGTATACGCACAGTATGTACAGTATGATGCTGAGACATATGAGAGCCTAAGCGTGCAGGAGGTGCAATTTCAATGAGAGCTGCTCATAAAATGTGATGTGAATCTGTGTTTCAATGGCCTCCCTCCAGCTCTCATGTTGCCCTGTTTCACAGTATTTAGCTCTTTTCACCTCCCGGCTACATGCATCGTTATGTGCATGTAAATGAAGTAAATAAAACCACAAGGGAGAGATTTATCAGCCAAACACCCCGCTGCCATTGTTTTCTTCCCTCGTCTGCAATATTTACTCAGTGAGTTGCCCGGAAGGAGAATTGACTGTCGATCTTGTTTAAAACTGTGATTTTTAATTTTAAATAAGCTTTGTAATCTTACCTTTGCGAGTTCAACAAACAGCTTAACAAAACCAACAAAGCCGTTAGCATGTAGCTGACCTTTTGTGACATTCTGGATATTAATTAGCCAGATTTCAAAAACGTGTCAGCTGACCTTTATTGGGCGGACAGGTGACGAGATGATGATTGATTTTTGTTTGAGGATGATGAGCCGCATGAAGCCCCGTGGGAGCATTCTGCTGTAGCCCTTGTTTATGCAACAAAAATAGTCAACTGTGTAAAATTGTGGTAAATTCGAGTGTGTGGGAAGATTGCGTTTGAGGCAGACATGGAGCTTAGGGTGGGTTTTATCCAGTGTGGGGCGTTTGGTACAAGTAGCAGCTGGACTTGTGTTGCTTCCCTCTTGGAGCACGCTGTTGTTTTTTCCCTGCAGACATCCGAGCTTTAAGCCAGGGCTCTGTTGATGCCCCCAGGCTCTGATCTGCAGCGCCCTTGTCATTAATTTCTCTCCAAACACTAGCTCTTGGACTCAGTTTGATGGAGAAGGAAAATTTATTCCTGCTTTCACTGGGGCCTTGAAACATCGTCTGCTTTAGATGCAAAGGCTTCAGTTGCTGTCTGTTCTTCTTTGTGACTTGCGGGGATTGCTGCAGTCTGACCTCTGACAGCTGCTTCAGTGGACATCTCAAAAATTGAACTCATGCAGAATACACACCAATGCACGCAGCTATTCTATCCACTTATCAGGAAGTGTATATTTTATCTATCCAGTGCAAGCAAACAGAAACAATTGGTGTTATATGAGGGGAGAAGCCCGGGCTCCACAACTCTGTGTAATTGATTTAGCAAGCCTGAGAGCTCTGAGATTGCAGCGCACATGGAATTGAACTGTGCCGTGCAGCCCTACAGGCATTCTCATAGCCCTCTGCCAATATTGCAGCAAGCCCGTCTGACAAACTAGAGGGACTCAGGCAGACAACCGCTTATCAAAACAAGTGCATATCACCGTGATAGCACATTGTTCCCTGTCTATGGCTCTGATTGGCTTTGCTCACAGGTCAACCAGTGAGCCATACCCCGAGCATCTGCTTCTTAGCTGCGAGGACTGCACTCTAACTCAGTGATAAGATGGCTCTTCGAACTCAAGTAGCCTCTTTTCCTACATCTGCCTTTTATCAAACACAGTCAAGTGAATACATTTTACTGGATTAGGACCAGTTGTCCCCTGGTGTTTTTTACAAGTTGACCCCTCCAAGTCTTATGTGGCAGTAATAAATGTGTTGATTAGCTAATATTAAAGCAGCTCTGGTGAATGTTTTTTAAGTTGTTCGTGTGGTTTGCTTTAATTATGAGCAAAGGAGTAAATGTGAATCCTCGTGGACTGCAGAATGTGCCCTCTCTATATCTCAGCTTAGCAGGCTGTCTCAGAGTTTCCATGTACAATGACTTTAGGGAAACTGGGGCTTTAACTTTGTGGTTCCACTTTTAGGAATGAATGCTGGAAGAAATTTGCACACAGACAAAAAAAGCAAATAAAATCTCCCCCCCCCCCCTTCCGAAGAGCCGCTAAAGGCTTGACACGCTGAACTTTATTAAGGAAGATTTTTTACCCCCAGTTTCTCGTTTGCTCATCAGAATGTGCATATAAATCCAGTAATGATTTGTAAATGTTGTGTTTACCCTTTACGCTTATGTGACCGTAACAAGGGAGGGGAATCATTCTGATAAGCTCGACAAGCCTGACAAAGGTTTACAACCCTTATCAGAACACAGCGACGGAGGGCTGGTGGTGGGGATCCTGCTTCTGAATGATTACTTTTTTGGCATCGCATTTTTTTATATAGTTAGAAATGACTGAATAATAAAACTATTTCGTTAAAACAAAAAAAATATGCACTTGTGAGTAGACGATTTTACTGCGCACTGTTCATGTGCTTTCAAGGCGGGATATGGAAACAGCAAGGATGCTAGAGTGGGATCAAGGTCATTTTTTAAAATACTTAATCAAAAGTTTCTTGCTATAAACTGAACATTTGGCTTCGTCTGTTATGCTTATATGAAAGCAAGTTGTGTAACAAAGTTGCACGAATGAGGGCTTTCATGTGGCTGTTTCAGAGGTGTAAACTCCTTTTTCTGATTGTTTTAGCACAATAGACCAATGGCACCAGCAAGCAGAAGGACAAATGTTTATTATTTATTTCCTTGCCATTTGCCAACATAGGCCAATTCTAGAAATTTACTGCTCCTCTTCGGCTTGTCAAAGCACACCCAGGTAGGTGATTACAAGTAAAACTGGGTGACAGAGCTGCCTTCCCTTTCCACTGTGCTCCACCTCCGACCTGACAGCTTGAACACAAACTTTATCAGCCCCCTTCACCTATTTCACAAAGACAAAGACACTGCAAGCTCGTCCATCCCCTTCTGTTCCCTGCTGTTGCTTTAGTGCCTCCCTGTAACCATTCATTTGCTGTCATAGATTCGTTAGAGTAGCAGTGCCTTCAATCGATGCATTCCATAGCTGGAGGGAGGGGGGGTAACTCATCCGTGCCACTCATCACCCGAGGGATTCATTACCTGTTGAAACACGCAGGGACCACATGACTTCCAGCAGTCTTGCGGCAAACCTGTGCAGGAGGGGTTCCCCTGGCGCACAGGGCCACTGATTGCTGTCCCCGCGAGGTCAGTCTGAAGACTTGAGGCTTGTCTCTGGATCTGGTCTCTTCCCGAGACAATCATTGCGGCAGAGGGGAAGGCGTAATGAAATCATCAGGACGATTAGGATGTTTGGTGTCACTGCTCGATGCAGCAAGAGCTACTGCTCGAGCAGAGCAATTTGGACTCGAGCTGTGTAACCAACCGTTTGTTTATTTGAATGTGTTGGCGTGGTGTGTAACTTCGCTGCTGTTGTTATGTTAATAGCTCTTATAGCTGCTACTCTCACTCAGTCTTGGATACCCATTTAGTAAAAGCTGTGACCTGGTTTTTCTGGTTGAAACATGCTTTTGTTTTGCTCTGGCAGGCAGCAAGTTTGAACTGAACCAGTTTGCATTGTGTAAGAACATAAAATATTAATAAAAGATCTCTGAGTAAGAGAGAAATTTCAATTTGCAGCGTTTTCCTTGTGCTTTTCATATTGTGATCTGGGTTAAGACTGACCTGAGGCAAGCTTGCAGCTTTTATCTCACTGGATGGCTTGTGTTTCTGGATGATGTGTCACATCTGTTTTGGTGATCAAGGCTAAACGACACCAGGGTGCCAAGAGGAGGCAGATTTTAATTTATTTTTTTTTGCTCCCCATTTTTGTGGATGTTACATTGCAGCAGACGAGTCTCACAGGCCGATGAAGCGGATAATTATGCATGAACCCCTGACATAGTGAAAATGAATTTGGATCCCAGACACTTGGCTTGTGGTGGTGTCGGTGTTATTAATATATTCTCATTTGGGATGTATGACAGCAGAGGGGGATCCCATGGAAGCACAACTGCAGTGCCATGCCAGAGGTTTATAACACTCTGCATGTTGCCTGCCTCATGTGAAAGTGTTGATTGGAATGACAGGGGAAGTCAAGAGTGTGTTGTAGCAATAAGAGATCAAAGCAGTCCCCAGTGGCTCAGAAATATCAAGCTGCTTTTGTCACTATTTTCCGAAAAACTTAAGGGTCAGCAGAGTATGTTGGAGGATTTGTCGTGAGGGCGTATTTGACCTAATATCACAGCGTGTCTGGAAAATGAGAGCTGGTGGCAGATTTGCACAAAGTGTGACAGGTTACTCGGTGAAGATTTCTCCACACTGCGTTGCATATGTTGAAGGTCTTTCACTCGTTGGCAGTCTTAGCTGAAGGGCTAAACGAGCTACTCAGTGTCAGCTTATTGTCGTCTCTGAGGATTTTTTCTGTTTCTGCATTAGAGTGGACATGTTATCCAGTAGCCATAAGGGACATTTCAGCCAACATGTGTGAGAATGTGTGCTTTTGGTAGCTATGCATAATTCTGTGCGTGTTTCTTTTTTTTTTTAAATTACAAATATATTTAGTATTCTCTATTGGGAAATGGATTATCAGTCAAATTTTTACACGCTACCAAGCAAATGATTATAAGCTTGTGGAGGAATTCAGTCAAATTTTCACTGAAATGGGTTTTTCTATGTTAGAAGCTTTCAAATGGAGCATGTAAGGTTGTAGTTTTTAAGCAGATTGAGTAGGCTGAACCCAGGTTAAAGCCATAGGAAGTAAAAAGTTCTACAACAAAGTAACAAAAAAATCAATTGTTAAAAGATGTTTAAAATTTCAATTTATAAAGTCTTGAATGCCTTGAAACCTTGGATATGGGCCAGCGCACACATCTCTGATTTGTTTAAATAGATCTGCCGCTGTGCTATTGACTGCTTTTCTTCCCCAGGTGGAGAGGCAACTAATGAATCAGATTTTAGGTAGAAAGAAAGATTTCGTTGGGAATAAGAATGGGGATCCTGGCTTCCTTCAAGCAACCGGCCACATTTATGAACAGTGATGTCATAAAAACAGTAATAAGTGTGGATTGGATGAAAAAGTTGACTTACAGAGATGAGACTGTTAAAATAAAGAAAGGTTTGCTATACAGGGTCGAGCCCATCAGGGCTTTTCTTCTATTTCTTTGCCTTCTTTCGTTGCTCTTTTTAGCAGTCAACA